GCCGACAAATTGAGAGAACGGTTATACCTTGCTATGTTTTTATCATGCTCTAAACCTCATTAATAAACCGGTTCTCCATGCAAAATTAAGTAGGCTTACGGGGTTATGTGGTTACGAGGCATTTACGCGTTTATATGAATATCCCTATTATATTTATATTGGCATAAAGTTCTACAGATTCTGTAAAAAGCTTTTAATTTTTTTATCACTGAATTCTTGAGCCTCAAAATTATATCATAATAAAATATGTATATCAAATTAAAGGTAAGATCTTGCACTTTCTAAATTTTTTATATGTCTTTAGCATTGATTATGCACTTTTTTCTAAAAAAGGTTATTTTTTGAACAAATTATAACATTTTATTTGTTTTTTAATATTTTTGGCTTAAATACTACTTAATAATTTAAAGACAGATTAACTCTCTTTATTTTTATGTCACTACTTTTTTAATGGGTTACGCAGTTTAGAAATATTAATATTTTAAAATATCACAAAAATTTTCTTTACCCTTATATCTTCTTTACTTTTTAATTGCGGCAAATAATATTTACATAGTTGAAATCAGCGTAAAAAGTACTATTGGTCTGCATTTTTAATTTTCCCATAGCTGAACGGTTGGTTAATTTGCTGCGCACGAACACGCGAAATTCTAGAAGGAATCGCAATAATTAAAATAATATTGCGCAATATTGGTTGCGCAATTAGCTGCGGTGATGGCAACCTTGCGGTTAAAGCATATTGGAAAACAGCTGATCGCTTGTTGTTATTTATGCGGCAACAAGCAGGTACAACGCGTTGTTTTGTCAATTGTTCTAGAACATCATTTGATTTTCCGTGGATAAATACGTTTAGGATGTTTGGATTGATAATTTCGGGACGTTTGGTAAGTGTGCTGATATTATTGTTCAATTTACCAATTATAAACATAGAACGAATCCCTATGTTTGTAGCCGCAAACCGACTTCACACCCGTGGATGAGAATAAGGTTGTTATCAACGTACCAGACATTGATCATGTGAACTATATTGTGGTATTCTTGACTGGTGTAACAGCGCTTCCCGAAGGTACAGCAGCCGCGGTATACTTTAGCTGGCCTGATGCAAATTCAGCTCCAACATGGCAATATTTGGGCTACGTCTCCAACGCCAAACCGTCAGCGATCTTTAAAATATCTCAGTTAAAAAAAAGTAATGAACTGGAGGCAGCGGAAAACGGCATGATTTTCGGAGCACAAGAGATTTCGTGTACTGCACAAATTGGTATATCAGTGGAACCGGAGCTAACAATTTCTCACCTAACGCCGGCAGTGGTAAGTGGAATTGATTAAAACACCCAGTAAATATGCTTAAAATAAAAAGAGGAAGCAGTCATAACATAATTATGCAGTATCAAATCTACTTTGATAATAAAACTGAAAATACATACATATTTAGAGTTACGGCTGCCAATCTTAAACAAAGCATACATAATGAGCCTAATCATGAGTTTCATTTTTCCCGAACCGGTTCATTTTTTGTCGCCATCTATTTACTATGGGCGGATGAAAAATTTTCGAGTTTTTCGGGCGAAACTCGGGATAAGGCGCAATACATATGTACATTAGAGTGGTCCAAAATAAAATTTTTCAGAGATAGGGTTCGGGGCCCCTCCCAAAGTTTTTACTCTTGCCGAAAGAGTTGCTGTCACCTAACTTTACATTTCTAGGTATAAACTTGGAGGATGCTCATGTAAAGTTATTCAATTCCGAGTGAATTTGAGTAAAGTTCGTTTTGAATTCAAATGGGCAGGGGTACATATCTGTGTTCGTATGGAAAAGTAGCTTATGTCGAAAGGCTGGCTTTAGTATAAATCGGCATTCGCAGCATACGATTGCGAATGACTCACTGGCGGTGAGCCGTTGAGAACTTTTGGCAAATAAACGTGCAAGAAATAGCTCCGATACTAGCAAGTCAATATTCTTATTAAGTCTCATCAAAAAAGTCTTTGTCGTTTAAAGAATAAAGGGAATGCCGCATTATACTAAAGCCAGCCTTTCGACATAAGCTACTTTTCCATACGAACACAGATATATTAACCAAACAATTGGTTAAACAACCGAAGAGTACTTCAAACGTAAATTAGCTGGAAAAATATTTCCAGCTGCAGGTGTCATGGCAATGGTAGCTTTTTATACAAATCAGTATTTTTGAAAGTTTCAAAACGATATAGTACGCATTTCAAGGTAATTGAGCATCCTCTATTGTGTACAGAGAAAATTGGAAAAAACCAAGCGGGTGCCCGGTTTTCTACGTTGAATTTTTTTTTCAAAAATTTTAACCACTCTAATGTACATATGCATGAACATGCAGTTGTGTTCATAAATCTGAGTACGAATATTAGAGGAAAATAATAATAAGTATGCGTTATCTACTCACGGGAGGTCAAAGGAGTAATAAGCAACAACAAATCATACAAAGAATTCAGGTTTGCAGCAAGAAATGAGCCTAAATCCCCAATAGACGTTCTCAGATTCCTAATCACCCCATAGCACGTTAGGGTATTCGCCAACTTGCATTTTTCGTCATACGACGATTTCCCTGCATTTTTTTCAGGCTTGAAGCTTAAACAGTGTTTAAATTAAACATCGAATAACATGGACAATGAACTTTAAACGGTCAAAGCTTAAAAAATACGTACATACATTGTAGAAGATTACCAATTGGATACTAATAGTATGGTATGAAGAATAACTGACTAAAAAATAAATACCTTTTGGTTTTCAAGCAAACTTTTAAAATGACTTAAAGTCCAAAAAGTGCTTTTAGACATGCCAGGTTTCGAACTCACCGATTCAATTATTTTAACTCGGAAGTCCATTCCATACATAGGTCCATTTTGCACTCCACCATATTGGTAACTAATTCAATGAGCACAAGTGGATATTCTTTTTTACCGAACTTATAGGAATAGCTAAAGTATTTCAAGCTTTACAAACTTTACAGCTTTAGCATATCGCCAAAACAGTAAAGCAGATGTTTCTGGTATAAAATGCATAGATAACTATGTACTTTTGAGCTCCACCTTTTTTCGATTTCTGATATTTGGAATAATTTAAGTTTGTTTAAAAATCAAAAAAGGCCGACTAAGAAATAGCTCGATCAAATGGGCAACTGTATAACCAAAGCATTGAAGCACCGACTGTCAAGTTTTTTTTAAATGCTTGTTTGCTTTTCTGGTTTGTGACCTTTGTGTTATATTTACATTACTTTATTAACCTAATTTAAATATGATCCTTGCACACTTGGGTTTCAGATTGATTACCACGATCCAAGAACACTATAAGGTTTTTGAACGCTGCTGTATGTTCCACTAGATCACTAAAACTAATCCACTAACAATGAAACATTTATTTACTATTTTTTGCAGCAAAACGCCAATGCAAATCTGCACTTTAGTCAAAAAATGCTAGAAAGTTTTTTCAATTATGCGTCCAGTTTTACGGTGACTCCACAACAACTTCCGCCACTGAGTAGCGAAACTCTGGTGCCCCTGTCCACGTTACAAAATTGGTACACAAACTTTCAGCGAAGAATGGCTCAAAATCCGAATTTCTGGAAATACTGATTTGACGG